TGCTGTATTTAATATCTCGCCTGTTAAATTTGGTGTGGTTTATATTATGCACCAAAACTTACTGTTGTTACATGGAACACTTTGAATTATTATAGATAAAACACATTTAATTTTTTCCAGTATATTTATATTGGATACTTAGCATTGCATATACTCAGTTTCACTTTTTCTTTCTTCTTTTTAATGGTCACTTTCACTTTTCCTGTCTCATACACAAACATGACAAAATCAGTCTCATGCAGTCTGGAAAGAGCTGACATGCACAGATTTTTCCATACGTCACAAAAAGCAGTTGCAATGGTGAACCTGAAACTAAAGGGGGAAGAGACAGACATATGCAGGCAAATGGGTGAAGGGTGGAGTTTAGCATGCATTAGAAGCTATTTTTAAGCCCTTCTACATATCACCAGGAGAGCTGAAAAACATGGTTAAAATAAAGTTTTTAAAGCAAAAAAACATTAATACTAATCCAAAATATAGTTTTTACATCTCGTTTTGGCTTTTTATTTATTTTAAAATATTAAGTCGACTGTGCCCTTTTAAAAAGGATTTTCCTGTAATTCTGTGCCTGTCTGAAATTGATGCGACATCTAATTCTTTTAAACAACTGTACTCATCAAAGAGGATTATAAGAGGGAGACTTTAAAGCAACATTAAAATTTAGGAAGAATTTTCAAAAAAGGGCATGTAGGAGCCTTTGATAACAAAACAACTGGAATTAGAGATTGCCAAGACCCCAAAATTCACTGAATCCATTTCCTTGCTAATGAAGGATTCTTATAGTGCCAAATCATAAGGAAGTGCTCAGTCTTCAGACGTTTAGCAGTTAATAGTCTGCCTCCTTGGAAGGCTGCAACTGATGACTAGAAAGTGAAGGTGGAGCCACAGAAAGGGTTAAAAGCCCCACAGGCAGAGTGCAAGGAAAGAGAGGAGGCTGTGGCGTGAGGAAGCAGCACAGAGCCTACGTTGCCCCTCAAGTTCTGAAGACATCAGTGTTTGGGGTTTTTTTGTGGGAGGTTTTTTGTTGGTACACTTGCTTGTTTTGATGGTCGTTTAATGTGGAAACCAGATAAAATAAACTGGCTGGAATCCTTGAAGACAAAGCTGCCTAATATTGATACGGAAACTTAGTGAGTGACCTGCTTACACAAACCCTCAAAGTTCATCGTAAGCCTTGTCATATTTGGTGCTTGTCTTAAAGTCCCAGCTCCTGGGTAAATACATTAGAAATTCAGTTATCATTTGCAAATGGTACGATTCTAGCTCTGGCGAATAGCTGAGAAATGTGAAACCTAAACACTTGTACACCAGAAAATAACGAAAAAGTTTCAAAACAGAAACAATAATTGGGGTCATAATTTAATGTTTAACTGCTGTCCATTCTTGGTTTAGTCAACATAGCTTTCAATGATTGTGCTAGATTTAACAATGTGACCTGCAGAGAAACAAGTAACTTATATTTTTAAGTGTCTGAAAACAAGATGGTGACCAAGGGGCGAGGCATCTGTCAAGGGGCAGGGCTACCCACACGGCCTTTGACAGCTTGGCAAAACTGGGTAAGCAGCCCTCCGCCCAAAACAATTGTCCGCCCCTAGTCTGTTTAACATATTGTGTTACATAATGAACAGCTCACGTGGATTGGGAAAGGCGGATTCAGTTCCAAATCTCTATTCCAACTTTGCCATCTGAGAGCACCTTTGTAGTAGAATCTGTGTCAACTCCATGACCAACCCTCTTCTCTCTTGCATGTAAAAGGACCTTGGTTCCATTTATATGTTCTCTCAGTGAAATCCTGCATCTGTTATAGTGCTGTTTAAGAATATCCAGACTTTTAGTTTTGTATAGTTCTAATCCATGAGCCCTTGGATTTCATCTCGCTCAGTTCCTATGAGGATACTTGTTTTAGAGCTGAATAGCACCTTACTAATACATTCCATGGTACAGTAAAGTCAATTAGTCTTCACAGTCACCTGATCCAAGATTGCTTTTCACCTCTCCATTCCTAAAAATTTGTAGGATATAAGGCCGTCCCATCTTCAACTCAGCTGAGTAAATTTGGACCCAGATATTGGGAAGGAGCTAGCCCTGCAAACACCCACAATCCCTGCTTCCATTATAATTAACGCTTGCAGTATTTTCATGTAAATGTAGACTGGGAATTCATTCTGTTGCTTTGCAACTGTCTCTACACATTTAAGATACCAATTTCATATGATGCTTTCATATCATTCATTATAAGATTAGAAGACTGCTTTTAATTTCCATAGAAGTACTTTAATGTTTTGTATTAATAATTCTCTACAGGGTCTTTCCTATTACAGTGTCTCCTCATTAAACTACAAAGTTAAACAGGTGCTTGTCATGAAGACAATAACAACTTTTTCAGGACAAGATGGCCCATAGGATAAAAAATTGCCATTTGTAATACATGTTGTTGCTACTACCTCCTGAGAGCTGACATCAGGCTTTTGTTCTTCAGAGTAATCACTAGATGCAAACGAAGCAGCTTCCTTGTCTGTCAATGGACAACTGAATTGAACATTCTTCTTCTCAGAAACCAAACCAGAAGAGCCCACAGTCTGAACACTGATTTGAAATGGCACAGAGAGATCAAGATTTTCTAAGATGGTCTGAAATGAGAGGAGATCTAAATTTTAAAATGAATTTAAGTCATTCATTGTACATTCAGCAGTACTAGGATTTATACAATCACTTCGACATCAGACATTAGGCCAAATTTTCTACTGGCATAAATTTACTTCAATGGTGTTTTGTCTGTTTACGTCAGCCCAGTATTATAAATGGTATGTGTCTGATAAATAAGGACTACATGAGAGGGCATGCAGGGCAGAAATGCTATAAAGGTTTTATTACATGAGTCTAGGATAGTTGCATTATTCATGAATGTCAAAACCACTCATGAGCAACCAATCATAAATTCATACTAATAAAGTCCTTGTGCCTCCTTCCACCATTCATGTATTTTGTATGTAGCACATATGCTACAAGAGAAATATTGCTTTTAAGCATTGTCTTGGGAAAACACCTTCCTATTGGCTTCATTTGTATATGTCTGAACCCCCTGGGCACGTCCTCATGAACAGAAACATGCATTTCCCCAAGGACAAACACAATGGCACAATATGTGCTGCTGCTACTTGTCCCTGGGGAACAACTGTTCACATGCTCTGGAGCGTGGCACGTTGCCCAGGTGGGGTAGGGGAGGCCAGGGCCAGCACCTGAGCTGGCCCCAGCAGCCTTTTCTGGGGTTCTGGGGGCCTCGGGGGGCTGCAGCAGCAGCAATCCTGTAGCAGGGAGCCTGATCAGCAGCTGGAGCGTGGCTCCGGTTAACCAGGCTCTAGTTTTGG